TACTCGTTTTCGTCGTCGTAGTCTTCGTCATCGTTGAAGTGGATATCCGGCTGCAAAAAGAAGTTATGATTTGTTTAAGCATTTGTCACTGCTGTAGCGGCTTTGCGGGCCGCACACAACATATGCACACTTGTGTAATTTTTCATTTTCCATTTTCTCATTTTCCGTTTTCTCATTTTCCGTTTTTTCATTTTCTATTTTTTCTTTTTCCATTTTTTCGTAAGGTAACCCGTTTGAATCGGCGGCAAAAATGCCGCCTTTTTTTTCGTACCGTCTTCGGGTATGCGTAGAAGTTTTTGGATGTCGATATTTTCCATTTCTTTTTCAGTCTCTCCAGTTTCGTGAAAACCTTTTTTGTCATTCGCATGTTTTCGAAAAATAAAATAAACGAGGATGTGTTGGCGTCGTTCGGGTCGTCAGCGCGGTCGGCATCATCCGCTGCGGACTCCACCTCGTCGATGCTTATTAAAATGTGATGGGGATCCACGGGGCTCAGTTGGTACTTGCAGTCTGTGTGGTGTCTCGAGTGGTCCTCCGAGTGGTGTGCGGAGTTGCCTGCGGAGTTCTCCTGCCGGGCTTCCCTGGCGGCGCCCCTTGTGCGGTAGTCAATTTTTATAATCTTCTTGGGAAATATTTTAAGAGTGATGAGAAAGCTCTCAAACTCCTTTATGGAAATGTCCTTATGCCATCCGCAGGTGAATATTTTATACTTTGAAAAAATGGTCACGTAATCAAGTTTTTCAGAGCTCAGAAAAAGGTTACTTTTGGAAGCATACAAAAAAGAAGTTCCAAAAAATTCTCGTAAATGATATTTTTTAGCAACGGGATATTCCTGCATTTTCTTAATTAAAATATTTGCATCATTTACAGTATCACACAGGACATAGGCACAGTCAGATTGTATGCCATTTTTTTTAAATCTGAAAATGATGTTTTTTAATTTTACATTAATCTTAGCACAGTCGTAAATAATGTGTGCCAACTCTTTTCTCCCATAACAACTGGGAATATTTATAATGGTAATTATTTTGTCCAAATTTTCAAACCTTGCCACTCTTTTGATATCTTCCGTAAATCGCAAAAACCGTTCGCATTCTTCCACAAATTTTTCTATTTCGAAATCATCACATAGGTGAATTTTACATTCCTTGAATAAATTTTTAAAATTTTTATTCCACACGTTGGTACGAGGATATTCCACCTCTTTTTCTTCTTCTAATTGTTCTACTTCTTCCGCTTCGAGTCCTTCCGCTTTGAGTTTTTCCTCTTCTACTCCTTCCTCCGTTTCGTCATTCCCTCGCACAGCATTCACTTGGTTGTGTCCTCTGAGCTGGACACTGGATTTGTGTCCCCCTTGGATATCACACGTGGGGGCATCCTCCAGTCCGTTAGCGGGGTTGGAGTTGTTACTGTTAGGGGATTCATCCGAATTTTCCGCAGATTCGTGGCTCACTCTTTTTTCATGCAATGGTAAGTCTTCTCTTCCCCCAGAGAGGGACCCAAAATCGAAGTTAAAATTCTGCTTCTTCATATTGTCAGTCAAAATCATTATCCTACCAGTCGGTCTACACAAAATGTTGGTCATAATGTGGATGTCATTTTTTTTCAGCTTGACTCCTTTTATGTGGAAATAATCCAAAATTAATTCTTTTTTGCAATTCTCCCTTTTGACATTTTCGAACAGGATCGCCTTTTTCCTCAGCAGATTGGATACATTAACGTCCATGCTGAAGTGGGCCTTTCTGATTCTGCGGAGTATCATCATGGGCAAAGGGGGCGGCGGAAGTTGTGGGGAGCAACAGCAGGTACGCACATGCATGTATGTATGGGCATATATGCGCATTTGTGTATGTTTTCTGGTAGTTAGCCCCCACAACGGCGCTCCCACTGGGTTAGAAGAGGTGGCCTGGAAGAACATAACAAAGGGGAAAACTTCCTTTTTATGCAGGATCCCCACGCAATGTTGATATATAAAGGGAGAGGCCCCATAATTATCATAATACCGCAGTCGATCTGTTCGGGAATTAAAAAAAAAAAAAAAAAACGCAATAATACCACAAACGGCAAAAAAGGGAGGAACGAAAAAAATAAAAAAAAGGAAAAACAAAACTAAGGCTGCCTTTCACCCTCAAATAAAATTTTAAAAATAAGGATAATCAAAACGACGTTGAACGTGGCACCCAACCGGGGGTCACTTAAAATTATGTTAAAGGGAAGAAGCACCCACACTCCACACCTTCCCCTTCGATGACGGCGGTGGTACTACCCAAGGCACTCCCGTTAATGGGAAGGCAACTGACGAGGAAGTGCACTACTACTACCTAAAAATGGCTTGTCAAATGTATACTTATGTCGAAATTGCAAAGTGGAGGTAGGGGAACTTTTTTCCCCTAAAATATAGAAAAAGTGATACCTATCCAGTAGAACAGGAAAAGAACCTCCTGATGTGGACTCGGTTCGCCGTATAAGCCATCACTGTAAATGGGAGATGTATACTCGCGCTGGTGTACACATTACTGATGGAGGATCTTCTCTTTCTTACAAATGAGCATAACTAGGAGCCACGTAGTGAGGCACACACGGAGTGGATTGAGAAAACTAGGCAGGGAGACAAATGAGAATACCTAAGCATACAACATGATGAGCGGTGTATATGCCCTCCTTTTTCCAAAAACGCAGTTTGTAAAAATGCGCATAGCGAAACCGACACGTTGATCTTTTCTATTTCATTCAATTTTTACTTTTTTCTTGCCTTTAATCAGTGGTCTAAAACGGGGCTAGTAAAATTGTCATCCTGTGCCCACCCCGGATCGGGGCACACCTTATTTCGGAAAGATTTGAGATAACGCCAAATTCTCAGTCGTGTCATAAGTTAAGGCGCATCTCGCGTATGTAGATCCCAAGCGGTGTAAAAACCTATTGCTCTTTATTTTGATCAGAAATGATAAGTTCTCCAACCATATGGTTTACCTACCCCCCTCTGCAGACGTTTTTTTTCGACTTTGCATATTTTTCACCCCCCACTTTTCTCATCATTAATGTATCCCATTCTTATTTTTTTTAACAAAGTCGTAAAGAAAAGCAATCACAAAAAGGTATTAACTCGATTTGTTCAAAAAATAATTTCTCACCACACAGCTTCTTCCAGTTAGGATATCGGCACCATTTTTTTTTATTCCCTGCTGCTATTTAGAAAGTTATATATACGCCTAAATCTTTTGGTACACGCCTCCCCTTTTACAGCGGCAATTTACTTTTTACGCTTCATTTTTTTTCTTAAAAAAAAAAAAAAAACTTTTGAATAACAAATACGGGCAACAAACTAAAGAGTATACGAAGCGAAATAAGATGATCACTAAAAAGGAAATAAATTGAGGATACGAAAAGATCCTGTTAATACAAGCCAAAGTGTACCCTTCAATCGGTAACAATAGCATCCCAAGAGGGGGAATAACTTTCCATGCGCCAAAAAAGAAAAAAAAATATATTGCATAACAATAAAGTAAAACTTTTCACAGAGATAGAGATTATTTATAACCATTAGTGGGAAAAAAAAAAGAAAACAAATACAAAAATATCTCAGTCAGAGCATAGTATCCAAACATAATAATGAAATAAAAGGAGGCGGGAAGTCACCATTTAAGCTCAAAAAAAAAGGTAATAAAAAAAAAAAAAAGGCACAAGAAGGAGTACACGCTATGGAAACGCGTATAGGACCACGTACATACGCTTATGCATACGACGCCTTATCCATATGACGGCTTATCCATATGATCGCTTATGCACATGTTTGAACGCTACGCGGGTTAGCCAGCAAAATGTTACACACACCTCCACCATCTTCCCATATGTGCTCATTTATGTACCACGCTCGTTCGCCTCATAGCAGGAATCGCAAGCACAGAATATAAGCAGATCTGGTGAGAAAATTCTGTGCAGGAGAAAAGGGATGAATAAAATATCCATATCCCGTACGTATAAGAAATGTTACCAGGGAGCAGGCCCCATTTTTATTTTTCCTGAATCCTTGCAAGGGGGTAAAAATCTCACGATTGGCCAAACCGAAGGATTATTTTTTCTGCGCATCCCCGTGTGTAGTCTCACTATAGAGGAAATGCCGCCCTACGGAGGGTGCCAAATAGCCAGGTCGTTGCTTATGATTTGCGTGGGTTGGCACTGATTAGAGCCACTTGGTACGAGTTGCTACCGACTGGCACGGACTGTTATCTGTGACTGCTATCCGTGACTGGCGCATAAAAGGTGCCACCTCGGAAAGAAGGCACGCTGCGACGCTACCACGCCGGGGTGTTACAATTCCGCATAGCTCGGATGCTACTAGAACGTTTTTGAAATAACAATCGGCCTACATCTCTAGATGCATAGCTCCTCTTGCATGAGGGTGCTCTCTTTTTCTTGACGGGAAGTCGGAGATAGTGCCCTCCTCCCTCTTCTTCTTCCTCCTCCTCACATATAGAAACTCCTCAACGTAAGTACACCCTTTCACGCGAAGGTGTTTACGTACACACGGAGAACGCAGAGGAAGCCGCAATTTTTGGAGGAACAATATATCAGTCCAAAAGAAGAAACACATTCAATCGCATCAAACGTGTAGAAGATTTATATCCAAGGAAGATGCTGAACACATTAAGAGAGCTAAACGATTACAGCAACTTTCTGCCGAAAAAAATCAAGGAAAATGTGAACAAGGAGAAGTACCAAATATTGTGCGAAATAAGAAAAATAGTTTCGCTTAAAAAAAACAACTCCTACAACGTGACGTTAGTGATTAAGCTGTACAACTTGTATGAAACCATCAATACGACGAAGCACAAATCCTTTCACTTTTACATTTTTATGATTAAGTATTTGTGGTACTCCCTGCAAAATAAGAATATAAGTCCAAACTTAAAGTCATACATCTGCCAGAGCATTTCTGGGATTCTAGATAATATTAAAAGTCACATTCTGGACGACTACTTTTTTGAATATGATAGGAAACTCATTTGTAAAGATGAAGAGTCAAATAGTTTTGTCTACCCAGAAGATGTGGGTGGCACTTCGCATGATGAGGGAAACGGCAGTGATGTGACGAGCAATTCCTATGAAGGAATTAGTGACAACTACTACGATGAATATAAGTACATAAATGGGGACCGAAGTGATGTGGATAGTACCACCATAAATGAGAACAAGCCACACATGTCTGGAGATCGATACTACCTTTCTATTAATGGGATTTTCGAAAGAGGACAAGAAAACAGCAGCTCATTCTTTAACGAAGAAGTTATAATTAACGGGAAGGATGAAAGCTTTCGCTTATATATTCAAAAGTGCATATTTAACATTATTGATTATAAGTACCTGTTTAGCTTATTTTATGATTATCTGAGTAGCAATTCAAGGAAGCAGGATGAGTATAGTCACAATGCGTACAAGAATTTCATCACGTCTGTCATCGACTTGTTGGAAATGTTGAGGCCGTTCTGTTATTACAACATTGATGTGCATAACTTGCTGTTTGATTTTTCGTTAAATAATATGTTTTCCTGCAAATATGAGGAGTACGTGGACATGAGGGCCGACTGCCTTGTGGGATTTGCCATCCGGGTTGGAAAATGCGCCCTGGATGGGGGTCACAACGGTGCCGCGGATGGCACCCATGATGATAATTGCGTCAATAAGGGGGATGGCAAGGGGAATGGCAGCCAGGACGACAATCGGGACGGCAAGCGGGACGGCAACCAGGACGATTGCTCCACTTCTGAAATTAACTTCCAACTGAACCGACGAACCAACAGCGGAGTGGTCCTCGACGACAATTACAAGAAGCACAAACCAGGGGTAGCGGCCAACGCGTTCATCGGAATGGCGGACGAACGGGATCTGCAGCATGTAGATCTAGTGGCACACCCCATTGAAAAATTAGAAATTTGTCCAAGATACAACACGGTGTTTTTAAACTTTGTAATGCTAAGCCAGCTGGGCTCAGATGATTTATGTTTTAAGTTAATAAAACACGAAAAGGCGCTCCATCTGTACAGGAAGTTAAAACGGTACAACTGGCACAGTATAAATTATGCTTTCGTCAGAATTGTATACAAAGGATTAAAATATGCCTATATGTATAACATTAGTCTGGAAAAGCAAATGAAGGAGATAATCAGACTGCTCTTTTTCTTGTTCCTATATTATATAAAATTACCTTGTAATGTTGTGTTAAGTTCCGCGAAAAAGTACATTCCGGATGATTACAATTTGCTGATTAATGATGATGACAGTGTCGTAAAAACCGTTTCGAAGACGTTCGTTTTTTTACTCAATAGAATGTATCGAAAGGGGAGGGCAGCCGGGGGGATGAGTGCGGAGGAAGTCAAGCAAAAGGAGGTGGAGACAAAGATGAGGGAGAAAGAGTTACTGCAGGCTTCTCTCTCCCTTTTGAATGACGAAAATTTTAATGTAAGCACCTTCGATGAGGTGACTACTGGTGGTGAAGGCCCAGAAGGCGGCAGAGGAGGAAAAGGAAATAAAAGAAGAATATCTTCCCTTTTTCAAGACCTGGACACACACGAATTCATTAACGTCATTACGTGTCTGTTCATGCCGCACATACATCCTTCTAGCGTGGGGAAGCACCTGGGGAATATCAACCTGTTCTTAAACACTTTCCTGTTCTGCTTCATTAGGAAGCTGAAGAGGGAGAGTTTGTACTTGAAGCGTATGGAAGTTCGCGGCAGGACCGGAGATGGTGGGAGTCTAACGGGTGATAGTCTAACGAGTGGTAGTCTAACCGGTGGTAGTCTAACCCGTCCAGGGGACCTCCGTGGTAAACCTCCCATCAATCTGTCTGGCGAAGCGGATGATTACGTCTCGAACTACTTCATCTCGGAGGAAGACAAGAAGTTTGTCATCGAAAAGTTCACACAGTTAGCCGTGCAGGGGATGTTCCCCAAGAGCAACAAGGGAGTTAGCCTCTTCGAAAACATCCTAAAGCACATATGCGTAGTGGACATGAACTGCCTGGATATTTTCGTTAAGAAGATGTTAGAATGCCTCATCAATGTGAATATTTCAACCCAGATATGTAACTGTCTTTTGTCCCTATGCCTAATATTACCGCTGCTGATTAGGTATAAAGCTAGCCACTTGAAAGACCTCCTCTCCGTTATGAGCATGGGCATTGATATCTGCGATGTGTATAAAAGCTTCACCATCTTCTCCTTCCTAAGCATATTATTTTCCTACATTTGCATTGTCAAAATTGACAATGTAGGAGCAGGAAGTGGGGTGGATTTGGAGATTGCCGTCAGAGAGTACAAAAAATTTATGCACATGGAAGGCAGTCAGGTGTACACTTTGTACTTCCTAAATGATGACCAGATCGAGGAAGTTATTAGAGAGCGCAAAGAACTAGTCGATTATTTATGCTATTGGATCCATGAATTTTTTGAGAAAATTCTGTACTTTATAAAATTTACAAAAAATGAGAAAAGTAAAGCTAGCAAAAAGCTGAATGAGGAAAAGGAAATAACCACAGTGGGCAACGACATTTACACCGGATTGAAGACCACACTGATTTCTCTCTTTATTCATTTAGATCACGACATTGTTTATGAGCTCTGTCAGAAATTTTTAAACAATATTGAACTGGAAAACGCCAAATCCCTGTCTATCATTCCACTGGCTTTCGGGCTGGTAAATAACAAAAGAGTATACGACACGCTTTTTAACGCGTTTTATAGGAAGCTCATCACGAAGAGGAAGAAAAAGCGGCTAATACCTGCGATGGGAGCGTCCGATGGAGGACACGTCGCGGAGCAAGAGGAGGAATACTTCACCTACTCGAAAAATGAGTACGCCAATGACGACACGGTTAAGTGCTACCTGCAGTTTTTGTCAAACCTAATGAGAAGGGCCAAAAATGAATACATCAATTTGGAGGATATTTACAACTTAATCGAAATATACATCGTTGAAGATAACAATGTTTCCTTTAAGTACATTTGCAAAATTATGTATAGATTTCTGGACATCCAATTCTCTCTATCGATGAAGGAATACTCGTGTTTTAAGATTGAAGAAAATATTAGTGCACAAGAGAAGGTTCGTACTCTAGGCGGGTGGGGCATCCCTTGGTACATTCTAAACAATACGAAAAAAGAGGCAGAACAGGCAGAGGAGTCATCACATAAAACGTGTGAACAGGGACAAGTGGTGCACACCACCTGCAATGGTGAACAAGGGGCAGCTAAGGGGGACGGCGCCCATGCGGGATTCTCCGAAGGACCAGTATTAAACGCGGAGGAACTCGTAAAATGGAAAACCCCGTCAAAGGAAAATGTAAAAGTGGGGAAGAAGTTCACTTACTTTCTGCTGGACTATGTGCTCGATCTGATAATCCAATGTGATGTCCCAGTGTCAACCCCCAATTTGATAAAATACGTGGAGAAGAGAAAATTAAAGGAAAGAAAAATCCATTGGAAATTCCCCCTAACCCATTCCAATGTGATCTCTAGAATTTACAAAATAATTAAATGCATTGTTAAACCACTTAGTTGTTTATATCCAGATGAGAGGTACAGATATAATAACCTCTTACCCAAGTGCCACGTGGTGAATACAAAGCTGTCTTTCTACCTGTACGTCTACATGTGCGAAATTGTCGTGACTTTATCTTTACACGTTTTGAAGATACCCGAGCAAATTTTTAGCATGTCCTTATATGGTAGGTACAACCCTAACGATGATAAACTGGAGCACAAATATTCCTTCAGCTCGGTAAATAGTGAAAACAGTGTTAACGATGTAAACGCGAAGCAGATGTTGGTAGAGAAGAATGAGTTGAAAAAATTAAAAGAGGAATTTTTCACAAATATTATTAATAATAGGGAGAAGACTATCAAAGCAGATGCCAAGATGCAGAGAAAAATTATCAAGTGCATACACTTTCTACTTTTAAAATGCAACGAGAGTGCCAACATGACTATGTACAATGAATATATTAACAGCATGCTGTCTTTCACTTATAATATGTACCCGTACAGCTACAACTATGACATCATTAAGACTCAATACGTTAATAATGTGTTCTCTCTGTACAATGAAAGATTGAAGCAAAGGAAGAAAAACTACTGCTTTAAGGGATACCGTGAACAGCTGTGCAATATTTTATTTTTCACCAACTTGTCCGTTTACTCTCAAGTCCGATCGTATGCTCAGAGCACCATGAAGCTCGTTTTGCCCACTTTTAAAATTATCAAAATTCCCTTTCTCAAAATATGCTCCTTTTATCTGAAGAATTACATCAAGCTGTATATCTTGGTGAAGAGGGAGCGGCAGAAGGGGCCGGACACGGTGAGCAGCGAGGTAAGCGGCAACACACATGGGGCGATGAGTGGGGTTACAAATGGGGGCACTAATGGTGCGATAAATGGCCCGACGAATGGCCCCATGAACGACCCCACTAACGGCTCTGCGGAAAGCGGAAGCCTGAAGAAGCTCAGCAGCCTGAAGAGCCTAGGAGAGCTTAACAACCATGACTATTTCGAGAACAAGTGCATCAGCTGCTTTAATGGAATCCTGATAAATATAACGAGCAACTCGGGACTGATAAAGAAGATCAGCACCGACCTGCACCTGCTGAAGAAGTACATCAAAATTATCCTAAACATATTAAGACTGGAAATGCAGAAGGATGAAATAACCCTAAAGTGCATGAAACTAGTGTATGCAATCATTAACAGCAGATTTATAAAAAATCGAGAGGCTAGTTCCGTAGGGGAGGAAAAAAAAAAGAAAAAGAGCCTGAACGGATTATTCTCATTTCTAAAAGGAGAGAGCGCAAAAAAGAATAACGTCTACGCGCAAATCGTCATTTTAGCTTTCCTCATCTGCTACGAGAACTTTGTAATTCTCAATCACAGTGAATTCTATTTTAGCTACCTGCTAGAAAATTTAATCATAAAAAAAAACGTGCATGTGTATAACCTAGCCTATTACGGATTTATTAAGTTTTTAAAATACTTCAACATAAACGTTGATAGAGGTATCGTGCCTGCCCACATAATTGACGTGTTCAGGTGCGCAGATGTGTACGACAATTTTGTGGAGGTATGCATATACAAAAATTTGAAGAGTAAGAAAAAGAGCAATAGCATAAATGCCATCATCGTGAACTTATCGAAGATACAAAAATCTTTTAAGGGGTTTGCTCACATTAGCGAGACACACGTGAAGGATTTTTTCTACAACCATGAGTTTTTCAAATTTTTGGTGAATCTCCAGAATGGGTATGATGAGCAGATGGGGGGAGAAGCTACCCCCGGAGTGGTGCACACAAAGGATCCGTACAACCAGGTGAAGAAGCAGGAAGAGGAGGAAGGGGGCACCATACCAGGGGATGTGCACCGACTGGGTGAGGAAGAAGCGGCTGGAAATAAAGGGGATAGGTGCCTCCATTTTAGCTTTTTCCAGAGGATTATCCACAATTTGAAGGAACTGCAACAAGATGCGCATGCAGATAATGAATACAAATCTACCTTCATTTCGCTAATCTGCCCTTTGCTTTTTTCTCTGAGAAAGTTAAAAAGGAGGGAAGCGGCAGATGCAATTTTGGAAAGCATCATTTCATTGCTGGAAAAAGAAATAGCTGTTGTAAATATGGATTTGTATAGCATATGGATGTATTATTTTCACCTCCTTTTTATTAACATAAAGAAGAAGGATCTTGACAAATACGAAAAGTTGTTTAAGTTTTGTTTGTGTTTCAATTTTCAAGACACGTCTAATTTAATTTTTAAAAAGAAAACGCAGCTCTTAAGCATTATGCTTATGTACAGTATGCACAAGAACATCCACCTCATGGATGACCATCTAATGGAGTTTCTAAAATTGATTGATAATGACAACATAACGGTAAGGCAAGTGGTGGGGGATCTGTTAGCCTACTTACTCTACGTACTTCACGACAATAGGTATTATTCCCACTTGAAATGTATGTACCTTAGGATATTACTATATCTGTACAAAAGCGCCTGTGAGGTTATTGAGTACCTGGAAGGGCAGGAGACGCTATCCAAACAGTCTAAATTTATTTACAGGCTGGAGACCCTAGCTTATATTACCATCACCATTTTCTCGGTTAGAAGCATGTACCTACTAAATAATGTGAGCATTCCATTTTTGAAGATGTTTATTTTGTCCTTCCAACTTGTGGACAATTTTATCAATGGGATTGTCAACAAGGCCGTCAACTGCTTCTTGTGCCCCTCGCTCTACTTGTTCGAGTTTGAAAAAATCAGCTATGCGGAGGGGGCGGGGGAACCAGGCGATGCGTGTGTCACAAGTGCCACATTTGCCACATGTACCAAAGACCGTACCTACGAAATAGCAACACCAGAACTAATTGGTAGCTTCGATTCACTACTCCAAGACAAGATGGGAAATTTATTCATAAAGAATTTAAGCCACTTGCTAAGCAAAAACAACTGGAAGATTCGCAATTGCGTGTTACAATTCTGCTTCTACTTCCATGCGTACTATTGCATATTTTTTTACAGCCGAACGGAAAACACCTTCCTCCTAAATGTCTTCATATCTTTGCTAGTTGACAATTATATTGAGATTCAAAATTTATCGCGTGATATTCTCTCCTCTGTGCTTTGTTTCTACGACAGTCAGACTGTCCAGAGCATTTCCCAATACTTTTTAAGCGTGGCAAATGAGAAAAGTACATTACCATCACCACAAAGGGGCAATCTAGAAACGAGTAATAGCAGCAGAATGTTAGACAATAAAAAAACTGTTGCCATTTACGCCCTCATCAGTGTTGTCAATTCGTTTCCGAATCACGTCCCCCACTGGCTCCCGAACATTTTGGTAAGCGTAGCTAGGATGTCAAATAATAAGGTGCATTTCATAAAGAAGGAGATAGAGAAATGCATCCAGAACTTTCTGAGGACCCACAAGGACGAATGGGAATACAAGTACAAGTTGGTTTTCACGGAGGACCAGCTCAACATCTTGGACATGTACAAGGGCGGCCTTAATTACTTCACCTGAGGCGGGGCTCATCCGTGAGTTGTCATGCGCCGCGATGGGTGATGAGAAGTCCAATGAAAAAACAGGGGTGTTACATGAAAAAATGGCACTTAATAGTGGACTTTCACTGGCTGTGCATCCCTCGCAGGTGCGCTCCGAAAAATTGCAGAGCCAGGCGGATCAGCCGACCAGCGGACAATCACACAACATATATGTACATTCCCCGGCACTTATGTGAATTTACCCCCATCCACATTTTTATTCCCTTCCTGCATTCCTTTTAACCCAAACTTTCGTTGTCAATAGGGCCCGAGGCAGCCATAAACAATCGCCTTCACGGGGTGTCCAAATTACAATGGTGCTGAATTTCTTTGAAAATGTTTATGCTGCAAAAAAAAAGGGAAAATTGTGTAAACGCACGTGTAGAAAGGGGAAGCACCACAAATGGGCGCCTTTGAGCGTCTCATCATAAGGACCAACTTGGTGCTCCTAAGTCGCAGACGTGGGAAAACCCCAATTGATACAAATCGCAGTACAGAAAGAAGACGGTGAAGCGCGACCCACTTTAAGGCTTACTAATTGTGCGTCGAAAATTTCGAAATGTATATGGGGAGTTTTTCAAGCTGATAAAAATTTTTGATTGCTTGAAGCCGTTCCTCAGCATTTGTGCTCAACTTGTCGCTTTTGGTGCAGATGACTCTGAAGGGTATGTCCGTTTTTCTGTGAGGGGAGAAAAAGAAGTGAAGCGTGTGGGGAGAAGAAAAAATGAAACGTCAGGAGCGAACTATGGAGAAAGAAGTGTGACGAGAGAACGAGGGAAACACGCAAACGCATCGCTCTCGCACACGTTGTACATACTTTATGGCGTCCACTATGGACACATCAATCTTCTGTATGTCCACGCTCATGTCGATAAGAACAAAAAACAGGCATATTTGATTTCGCAGAAATATGTAGTCCTCTAGGTTCTTTCTCAAAAACTCCATCTTCTTTTTGCCTATTCCTGCAGCATAGCCAAAGCCAGGCATATCTGTTAAAATGAACAACTTCTTTTTCTTTCCATTTTCAAAAGAATATAAATTTATCGACCTAGTGCACCCGCTGTTCTTGGAAACTTTCACATTTGCATGCTCATTCACATTGATAAGATATTTTATGAAGTTCCTCAGAAAGGTTGACTTCCCTACGTTGCTCCGGCCCAGTATGCATATTTCATTTACGCCGTAATTCTCAATTTTCTCGTAATTGTGAAACTTTCCTAGTGGGGAGATCGGGGGAAAACACACAGGTTGGCTGTTAGCTTAGCTGATACAGGCATGGGCAATGAGTGGAGCACCACTTTCTAGGCAAAAACACAAATTAAAGAAAAGGAAATGATGAAGACGCACAAAATGTGGGATGTTCTTTATATATAGCAACATAGGGAAAAAGATTCCCTCTTATTTAATAAATGGTGCACTGGGAATTTGGAAAAGGGCACTTAAAAAAAAAAATCTCTAAGCTTTGCCTCTTAATCGGGCAAAATATATTCCTCCCAGATGGTGACGCAAAATGGAGGAAGATACATGATGTCATACTGGAAAATGAGAGGTGGTCACCGCGGGACGTGCACAAGTGTACGCTCGCTTCTACTCATATTGCTTATTCTTTTCGCTCTTTTTTTTCACCTAAAAAGGAAACGTGCTTAACATCCGATATGTTAAACTTTTTGTTGATTACAAGAAAGTTTTTCAGATTGGTCTTAAGCTTGTTAAAGCTGATATTTTTGAACGGCTTATATTCGAGATCTTCCTTCTTCTTAATGTCTAAAAAGGGGAGGAAAACGGAGGGGGAGGGTAAAAAAGGAGAAGTAGGGGATGCATACATAAAAACGATTGGGTTCAAAGGGATGCCAACAGATGGAAATATATTTATGTGCTTCCCCCAAAAAAGGTTACCTTCAAAAAGGCGGAAATTTGACCATGTCACAAGTTTAGTGGTTTCCCTTTTGGGAATGAAACAACACAGACGAGTTACATTAATGTAGAACACCAAAAAGAAAACGGAGAAGGGCGAGTTAACTACGATTCGCATTTAATCATAAGATGAAGGAGTTTTTGCGTCGGGGCGGGGATAGCGAAGAAAAGGCACATTTAGCGACCTAACGAATAGGAAAACTCCTGGTCATCACATTTTCACCTAAAAATTGGTAAAGCGCGTATGGAGGGCAAAGCTTGCACAGGTATAGCATACACACGCGGCCCATCTATGTTATGCGCTGCGTAGCCAAATGGTCATCATAAAAATTCACTTCAATGTGTACACGTGGCACAAAATGGTACTACATTGAGTGCCACAATTACACTATCGAGTTGTCACTTCTACACATATACATACACGCATACAAGCATTATTCCCCCCTTGACCAATTTGAAAACTGATGAACGGAGGAACAAACTCTGAATGTAATAATCGACGCAAGAATGTTTAGCTCGGTAGGGTGAACAGAAGTCTTTCGTAGGTACACAAAATGGGAAGAGGCGCGCATCCATTGACAGTTGTTAACACGTTTTTGTGTCCCCCGTTTCCTCCATTTTTACTACATTTTTTTTTACTTTTATTTTTTTGTTTTTTCCATGACGGATAATGTCGACTGTGATGTAACCATCCGATGTGCTGTTCAAAATTTCGTGCACCTAAAAAGTGGTAAAGAACGGGAAGGGATAAATTGAAAAAAAAAAAAAAAAAACTCGCCTTGCCCTCAGCAGTACAACTTTTTCAAGGGGGCGAAATACCCCAAACAGGGGCAATCGCATAAATGTATATCGGCATAAAAGCAGTATTGTTCATTTTATTTTTTTTCCTTTTGCTTATCCTGTTAACATCGCAAATGTTTTTAATCTCCTTATTGTTAATCGTCAACATGATATCTCCTTTCGTTATGCCGGCAAGGTCCGCAGGTGAGTTAACCAAAACGTCCTGTATTTTTAGTTCTTCGAAAAAAGGGGAATTCGGGTGGGGGTGAATTATTGCACAACTGTGATCAGCATTTGCGAGGGAAATTTCCTCTCAAAATCGCCATGAAGAAAAAAAAAAAAGAGACCCAAATAAGTGTTGCTGGGCTGATAAACATATTTTTTTTTTTTGTGAAGGCAAATTTTGCGTGTGTGATTGCCATTACCATTTTTGCAATTTTTATAAACTGCGGGGGTACTCTGCTCTTTTTCTCTCAAGACAATTCCTGATGGTGTTTACGATGGCAATGCACAGGTTGGTTGTCCCCGAAGGTTTGCTGTGTCTATATGTGTTGTACATGTGTATGTGCCCCTTGTCACACATTTATGTATTTTTTTTTTTTTTTTCGAATAAGTACCCAGAAATGGCTCCTTGTATGTCCCTTCCTCTTGCAAGTGGGTTGTGATGTTTTTTAAAATATTTACGGGCAAGGCCAACCTGTTTAGTAAATGGGAAACACGACGGTGAGAGGATTACCATAAATTATTATTTATTTTTTTTTTTTCACCAAATTGCATTGCGGCGAATTGCGGCGTGAGAAGAAACATTGTGTTTTTGTTCATTCTGCGACGTGCTTCTTCATTGCATACCCGTAATTATCTATTTTTTTTTGTATCATTCCTACGAGATTTCCATGCTTGTCGATTAGTGGCGAGCCGGACATGCCTTAAAATTAGAGGTGCGCAAAAGAAGGTGACTTGGGTGATCGGTTCACTTCGGTAAGCGGTTCACTTTGGTGAGCTGCTTATGCTCCCTGATTGCAACTCGATGCATGTGGGCCCGCTGGCCGGAAATGCTAACCTTTGTTAATCGGATTGCTTATTTGAATAAAGGGGTACAAACAGGTTTGCTCCTTCTCATAAAAGTTTTCAAATTTGGTGAAGGTCTGTCTAGGTTGATTTACGACACCGATACTGAAGGTCTCTTTATCGAAATTCTAAAAATGTTTGAAAGAAAAATGGAGTCACCTTTTAGCCCAGATGTGGGAGCCCAGTCAGGCTGCAGCAAAATAATAGGGGAGAAAACAAGAAAAAAAGAAAAAAAAGAAACCAAACGAAACACACAAGTATGAATACCTGTATTTGTCCATACGTGATTACTGGTTCTCCTGGCTTTAAGAATTCCCTGCTGGAGTCTAAGTTTAAAATTGGATTATACATGAAGTGCGCAATGAAAAAACGGCCTTTGCGAGTATTATTTGTGTGCGTCTTACTTAGAGGTATGTGGCTAAACTGTTCCTCCGAGTTAATTTTCATGACGCATATATCTGATTCTGGCATTTGGTGGTGGGGCGTGGATAAGTGTATAAAAAAAGTGCGTATGTGTATACGTGCGGAGGTACACTCATGGGCACAGCAACAACCCGTGTGGCAGCTGTTAAATGTGGATTTTTCCAACGGTGGTTGGTTTTTCCTTCCATGAAGGCTACATATAAAAGGTTACCCCTGTGCAAACCGGCCACCGTTGCTACATAAAAGTTGTCTTCATTTTTGATAACGAATGTACCCTCTGTATTCTTCGGGAGTTTTTTTCGAATGGGCGAAATGGGTGTAAAAGCTATGAGTGCATTTTTTTGCCAAGTGGCAACTCGGACACGTCGCTACGTTGCTACGTCGCCACGACGTCACACTGTTATCTCGTCATTTCTTTACCGTTATGTTATGCGCAGCCGTCAAAACGTATCCTTTTCGCGCGAAGAAAGATGAAAAAAAAAAAAATGAGCATGTCGTGGAGAAGTTCCATGAAAAGGGGCATGCATTTTAAGCGGTTAATATTGTGGAGGCAATACTGGGCTGAATAAACTTCGTCCAGTGGTGCACCTTTTTTTGAGGGGGCGATTTTTCCCCCCTTTGATTAAACAGTAAGTCTAGATGTGTTCCCCACTTAGACATGCTAAATGTTTTTTTTATTTTTTTTTTATTTTTTTTTTGCTGTACATATGTTTGTACCTCTTTTGTCGTAAATGAATCCCGAACCCAAGAATGCCAGTTGATCTAATTTAAAGCGAAATTCTGAAGTGTTACTTTGTTTATATATTTTATAAATGGTAACAAAGCTGGTCAAGAGGTGGTCCGAAATGGACTCATAATAATTGAACTGCTTTGGGAATTCTAAATAGCCTTTTGGCAACACGGAAAGGGTTCGATAAAATGTGTTACATAGGTAAAAATAAAAATGAAGTAAAGAGTGGACAACATATTTCACATATTCTTTAACGTAGTGAATAATTAGATGGGTCGCTAATTTAGAAGGGCCGTTCTTTTCGGGTTGTGTATTTTGCTCTAGATGGTGGCTCTCCGCGGGGACCTCATGGCCGCCGTCACTGAGACGATGTTCAGGGCTATGATCAAAGGTACGCCTAAAGGTACGCTCAAAAGTGCGATCAAAGGTATCATCAAAGGTACCATCAAAGCTACGCTGGCATCCATCGGCAGTCCCATCACCCCCGCTGTCTGCACCTTCGCAGAGGGACACATGAGCCATCCTCAGAGACATGTTACACAAACTGCACATAATATTTAGCTCATTTTTCACACCATTAATCGTGTCACCATAAATGCGCACAAAATTGTCTGCAAATTGTTCAGCACGCAGCTTTAAAAAAGGGAAGGAGTCTTGAGTCCGCAGGTGCTTTGTTCTGCAGTAGAATATCCACAGGTACGTTCCCCTCATTTGTGTGTTTTTAAGTTTCGAGGTGTCAGAGGGGAAATGGCTGCTCGCAAGCTGTCACGCGGCATGGATCTGCGAGATGGTGTGGAGAACTGATGAAAATTGTTGCGCCAAGAGAGAGAGAGAGAAAAAAAAACAGCATATTATACTACACAATGGCTCACAAATTGTAAAACACTTCAGTAAAGCAAATCACCCAGTAGGTGTGCCAAATGGAGCGGAAGGGAAAAAACATTGGGCGAGAATTTTTCATCCCTAAAATGCTCTGTAGGAATGGCATCGACATGCGGAAATTGGGCACCTTTCGCTTGGAACCCGTTTTATGCGCTCTTGCCACTTACCGCTGTAAGTTCGAAAAAAAAAAAGGCAAAGGGAAGGCTTTCCTCGCAATGGGGGGTCAGCGGAAACGTGTTTGATGCTGGGTCCATGCGTAAATGTGAACATACATGCCTACTTCACCAAATGTGGGTTCTATTCATCCGCACAAAATCTACACGTAAACCCCTTTACCGTTACGTGCCGCCCCCAATACGATGTGTGCGTTTGATCGGTTAAGAGGCCTCAACAAGCGCACCTTACGGCATCCTACCCCATACCCGATAAGGTATGTACATCCTCTTAAATGTGTTGAGTTTTTCAGAGTGTTTCGAAAGTGAGAAAAAAAAATGAAAAGAAATTGAAGCGATTCAAATCGAATCAAATGGAATCAAATCGAATCAAATGGAATCAAATCGAATGAAATGGAATCAAATCGAATGAAATGGAATCAAATCGAATGAAATGGAATCAAATCGAATGAAATGGAATCAAATC